GAAGAGACTAAGAGAGTGTGAGAGCTAGGGAGGGACTTCACTGAGGCAGTGCAAACGTTTTGCTGATGGCCGGTGACCCTCACAAAGCAGGTCGATGGTCCCCCTGGAAAGTCCCAGGGCAGAGGAGCCAGCCTGGAAGATGATTCGTGGGCCTCACATTGGGTGCTTTCTTCTCAGGGTCACACGGCATCGCTGTCTTCACTGGCCCTCTGCCGACACACAGCAGGGCCCGGTTTTTTGTCTCTTTTTTTTGTTTGTTTTTTGTTTTTAAATACACATGGAATTGAGTCTTTCTCTCTCTCTCTCTCCCTCTCTCTCCCCCTCCCTCCCTCTCTTCCACTCTCTTTGAAAAACGATAGAAAATTTTTCTCAGGTGAGGATTTTAAAAAAAGACAAAGGGAAAAAAGAAAAGAAAAGAAAAGAAAGAGAACATTTCTGTCACCTCAGAGAGCTCCCTCCGGCCCCTTCCCAGGCAACCCCTGCTCCTCCCAGGGGTAACCCCCGTTTGATTTCTTTCCTCACAGATGACTTGTGCCTCTTCTAGCACCTCATGCACATGGAAGCATTCCGTGTGTATGTTGTGTGTCTGCCTTCTTTTTCTTAGTGCAATATTTTTGAGCCTTCTCTATATTGTGTTTACTGGTAGCTTTTACTACTATACTAGTGGCCCATTGCACATTTGAACTGAATTAATTAGAAAAAAATATTTTAATATTGCTTTTTGCCCCCACCCCCTGATCGCTGTTCCCTCCTTCTGCCTGCGGGCACCTGCTTTGGCCGGCCTGGTCATTCTGCCATTCGGTCAATTTGCATGTTACCCTTTTATTGTATAGGATAGTTTTCTATTACTCTACGGCTGTATTGGGTGTTCGCACACAAGCCTTTGTGTGGACATATGACTTCATTCCCTTGGAGTAAATACCTAGAAGTGAAACATCTAGGTCAGTGGTTGGCAAACTGCAGCTCTTGAGCCACCTGCAGCTCTTTGGCCCCTTGAGTATTCTAATGCCACTTCTTCAAAATAGACTTGCCCAGGCTGGAAACCGACTTCTGCGCATGGGCTAGGAAGTTTCAATCGCACTGTACATGAGTACCCACACATGTTATTTTGTGGAAGAGCCACACTCAAGGGGCCAAAGAGCCGCATGTGGCTCGAGAGCCTTGGTTTGCCTACCACTGGTCTAGGTCATAGAGAAGGTGCATTTAACTGTAGGAGAAGCTACCAGAGCCGCTGCCAATGCGATGTGCATTGTGCGCTGTCAGGACCATCATGCAGCGTTCCAGCTGCTCTGTAGTCCCGCGAGCAAGGAGCCTGGCCCTCTTTGTCCTTGTAGCTGGGTCAGCAGGCTGATGCGCAGGAGCTTTCACTTTGTGAAGTCCACTGTGTCTTTCCTCGTCTTTTATGGCTCCTTTCAGGTTCCGTCAGGAAGGCTTTGCTTATCCTCAGGTTACAGATTGCCTCCTATTTTTCTCCCCTAAAAGCATTATAGTTTTAGCTTTTACATTTACATCTATGATCCATTTCTAGTTTATTTTTTGTGTGTGGCATGAGGTATAGATTCAGGTTTCTTTTTTCCCTACACACAGCTAATTTGTGTAACGCCATTTGCTACTTTGAATTGCCTTCCACGTTGAATTGCTTTGGTGCCTCTATTGAACATCAGTGGAACACATATGTGTGGGTCTATTTCAGAACTTTCTATTCTGTCCTATCTATTTGTCTGTCTTTACAACAGAACCTTACTGTCGTGATTAGGTTGGTGTTGGGAAGAGGGCAATTCCCAGGTTCACCTCTTGGTTCTCATTTCTCTGGAGGAAATAGGGTTGTTCCACGGGCCCGCAGCAAACACACGTCAGGGATACACGCGGAGAAGGATTTGAGGTCTGGTGGCAAGATTTATTGGAGCAAAAACAAAGGATGTCTACAACCAGATGACTCAGCTCCAAGGCACAGGAGTGCAGCCTCTGGGGCCACAGGCCCTCACTCATCCCCACCAATCCCTGGAGGAGGGCCAGGACCCAGAGCTGCTGTGCCATCACCCCAGCATCCGCAGCTCCAGGGGCTTAGCACAGTCTCTGCTCATGTCTGGCCTTTGATCGGCGCTGCACTTCCCTCTGTTAACGTAAAAAACCACTGAAACCTATGAAGAATTTTCGTGAGTTTATCAGAGCCAAACTGTTGACTAAGGCCAGGAAGCAGAACTTCAATGAACTAAGATAATGCTCTGGAGAAAGGTGGGGAACATCTGTATTTATACATTGCAATCAAAGGAAGGGACGTACTAGTAGGTGGGTTACATGAAATCCATTGGTGACAGACTAGAGAGGTGGGAGAAAGCAAAGCGGAGGAACCCCTGGGATTGGATAAAAAGTAAAATGATAGACACATACTTAGGTGGGTGTAGGAACAATTAACAAGAAGGAATTTGTGGTGTCTGTCTTAGAGTCCAGGCACATTAGTTGTGCCCCAAGGGGTCCAGGGGGGAAAAACGGAAGTTACACATTATCTACACATTTCAAGGGTATGTTATTATAAAAGCAAACAGACAGATAGGCTCAGTTACAATAAAGGTTGGCCTTGTCAGTGAAGATACCGGCCTAAGACAACTGCCTGCCCTAACTGCTTTTAGTTAAAGTTTAATTTCAGACCATCCTTTGTGGTTACTTTAGGTCTCTGAGCTTGCAACACCGCCATGTAGGGCTTCCCTGAGCCTGTCAGGTAAGCTTGTGGCCCCTTTCACCCACACCTTCCGGGGCTGCTGGGGAGGGAGGGAGGGAGGGAGAGAGAGAGAGAGAGAGAGAGAGAGAGAGAGAGAGAGAGAGAGAGAGAGAGAAAGAGAGAAACGCCTGGGGCCTTTGTTATGCTTTGATGATCTGTATTTCCTTGGGCTTGGGAAGGGGTAGGTTTTCAAACTATCCTCGTGTCTAGAGACATTCAAACTGTAAACTAAGAGCAGCTGCCGGCATTGACGTTGCCTGCCCTCTCTCCATCTCACCATGCTGGGGCCGGACAGCGAGGCATCGTCTTCACTGGCTGACTCCAGACTCAGACTGGTGCACAGTCTTCTCCCAGCATTCACCTGTGTTTCCACAGAAACGCCTTAGTAAACACAGGACAGCTTTAGCCATAGTCCTAATTTTTGGAACCCAATGCATACCTGCGCCCTAAACTGACCTATTGTCAGGACCAGGAGATGGGTTCCTTGAGGTGGAGCAATCTATCTACTTAACTTCGGCACTGAGACTTCCCGGAAAGTTTCAAAGGCAGGACTGAGGGGAACAAAAACTCCCCACCCCACCCCCAAATATGTGTTTTTGGCATATGTATTATGTAAACGGGTTATTTTTAAGAGGCAGAACATTCAGGAAATTTTTTAAACCTCATCTGCCCTCCTACTGCTTAAAAAAATTGGGATAGGAAGGAAGAGAGCTCTTACCAAAGACAGCCTTTATTTATTTATACTAGAAGGACTTCTCTGCCTGGCAAGGCAAACATGGTTAACCAAACATTTGCTCTTCCCATCTCCCTGTGACTTGTCTTCCTTGCCTGGGAAGTCCCAGGCCCCTCCCCCTTCCCCTGACCTTAGGGCAGCATCTGAGCCTCAACTGTCTGCCTGCCTGTGGGCCTCCTATTCTCATGGAGCCCTTGTACATGCAAAATTACATTTGGTGTTTCTCCTGTTAATCTGTCTCACATCCATTTAATTATAAGGCAGAGGAAAAATGTTCCCTCTCTGACATGTCCCTTCCATCCACCCAAAAATCTTTTTTCAACTTACAAAACTGAAACCTGTAGCTATTAACTACAAATTATTCTCCACTCCCCACAGTGCCTGAAAACCACCAGTCTGATGGCTATTCTATAAGTTTGACTATGCCAGGGACCGCATAGGAGTGGAGCCATCCAGTATTTGTCTTTTGTGTCTGGCTTATTTCACTTAGCAGAGTGCCCTCCAGGCTCATCCGCGATGTAGCATGAGTCAGCACTTCGCTCCCAAGTGGGTGAAGAGGGCAAAGGGAGGCAAGTCCACAGCCTCAAAGCTGGTGAGAAGGGTGTCCTGCTGGGCATCAACCACCTGCAGACAAATCAGCTTTAAAATGTCACTGTAAGCTGAAACCGGTTTGGCTCAGTGGATAGAGCATCAGCCTGTGGACTGAAAGGTTCCAGGTTAGATTCCGGTCAAGGGCATGTACTTTGGTTGCGGGCACCTCCCCAGGAGGGGGTGTGCAAGAGGCAGTTGATTGAAGATTCTCTCTATTCGGTGTTTCTAACTCTTTATCCCTCTCTCTATAAAAAAATCAATAAAAAAATATATATTTTTAAAAAATGTCACTGTGGGATCCTATCTACTGAAGATGTGGGCATGCTGGATGTCAAATCCAGATTCCTGGGTGCTGAGATGGAGAAGGTGCAGCTCCGACAGCGGGATTTACTTGAGATGCCACGTGAAGGCCTGGCAGTAAGGACACTGTTTGATGAGCTGACGGTGAATGCAAACCTCCGAATATACCTGCTGAGCAACAAGTTCCCTGGCCAGTGACGTGCCTGCGGAAATTCCATGGACTCTGTGCCGCCTGGTTTAAGAAATGAATCTGTTCGATATGGGCGGGACAGTACAGTAATACTTTCTGCATAAAAGTATGTATTTTATGTGATTAATTTCTCATAAGTGAAGTGACCTGCAACTTTGTGGCGAAGACCCTTGTACTCAGGACCTTTAAGTGACAGAGGAACAACCTGAAAAGTAAACGTACTCACAGTTTATCTGAATGCTTATTTAAACTTACTTTTGTAATGCCATAAAATGAGTATCTGGATGGTTTTCAGATATGTTTTTCATTGATTTCAGAGAGGAAGGGAGAGGGAGCTGGAAGCATCAAGGTCACTGGTGTGGGAGTATCTACTTACCTGTTCCAGAATCCCACCCTCACCCTTTCCCCCAGCAAGTCAACATTCCCTTTCTCTAGACCCACTTCCTCTTGCTCCTGGCTCCTCCCCATTGAATAAGTGCCCAATAGCTTTGGTTTCTGTTTCACAGTGAAGTCCTCCCCAGTGCAGACAACTGCCTGGCTGTGTGAGGAGCAGCCGTGACCACAGAGGTGGTGGAGAGATGGCCCTCAGCAGTGTCCAGGCTCCCTTCGTGAACCCGGTGAGTTCCCAGGCTGTGGGTATAGGCGATGCTGCGGGGCGGACTGGCTGCCTTGCCAAGAAAGCCGCTCTGGGTCTCCTAGGAAACCAGACTGGGGTGGCAGAGGGGGGCATAGGGGGGCTGACGTGCCCAATGGGGCAATCCGGACCCACCCTCTGCCCCAGGCCGGTCTCGCCCCCAGGGGTGATAATCACCGCAGTGGTGCATTGCACAGATGGTGCTGAGCTCCCTCTGGGCGCCTGACCTGTCCTGGGTGCTGAGGGCAGGAGGGCACTGGGCAGCACTGGAAGAGTGGGGTTCTGTTGGGATGAAAGGGGAAGTCAGCAGGGCTTCCGGGGAGCCCAGCAGCCAGGCCTGGGCACTGACTTAGGAGATGGCCTCCCTGGGTTCAGCCATTTCCTAGCCAGGTGGCCTCAGGTGAGCTGCTTTTCCCTGTCTGGGCCTCAGTTTCCACATCTGTAAAATAGGGGTAATCCTTGATCCGCCTCCCAGGATTGGGGTGAGGATGGAGGTAGCATATTTAGGGTGTGTGAATGGTGCCTGGCACGCGGTGGGGGCTGTAGAAGTGTGGAGCATGGCTCGGAGTCTGGGGGCAGCAGGCAAGACCTCTGAGGGGTGTCTGCTCCCTGGGGGTGAGTTAACAGGGCAGGTCCAGAGTGTGTGCAGAGGGGCCTCTGGGGAGTGAGGGAGGAGGGGGCTGCCCTGCAGTGTGGGATGCAAAGGGAAGCTTTTCATCCCAAGGTCACATGTTTGGCCACATGTGAGGGTCCTGAATGGGTGGCCAAGTTTAAAACCTCTGAGCTTTATTATCCCCATGCCATCCATGAGAACCTGAGACTCAGAGACGTTGAGGTAACTTACCAGATGTCCCAGATGGTGGAGAAGGAGGGTGCCTTGTTTAACCTGAAGGGGAGGTGCCCACAGGGGGAGCAGTCATGGGGGAAGGCAGGCAGGTGGCAGCCCCAGGCCAAGAAGTTCACTGTGCCCTGGACAGCCCCGTGGAAGCCTCTCCCAGCCTCGGCAAACAGGCCCCTCCTTGGTGGGGCACCGGGTAGGGGGGTGGTTGGCAGCACAGCGCTGAGGGGGAAGCTGCCTGGGCCTCACACTCCACCGCCCTGGGCAGGGGCCCTGGCATGGCCCTGGGCTCACCTTGAAAAGGCTCTGCAGGTGGAGCTGCAGAAAGTGGGCCAGACTCCAGGTTGCCTCAAGTGTGTGTGTGTGTGTGTGTGTGGGGAAGAGGGGCGGGGGTGGAGGCTCAGGGTCAGAAGTTGTCCCCTTAGGCTCATTGTCTGTCAGATGGGGGATCCCAGACCTCCTTCTAGGCCCTGACACTTTCTTCTCATGGCGACTGGTTTGTAGTTTTCTATTCTTGGTCCAAAAGCTACTAGTAATTATGCACATCAGAGGGCAGTCCCAAAGGGCAGCAGAGTTCAAACAGGGCCTTGGTGCCCTGGCAGGTGGCTCCATTGGCTGGAGTGTCATCCAGATCACCAAAAGGTTGTGGGATTGGTCCTCTATCTGGGTGCAATCCGGAGGCAACGGATCTCTCTCTCTCTTTCTCTCTCTCTCTTTCTCTCTCTCACTCAAATTAAAGACCATATCATTGGGTGAGGATAAAACAAACTGTTGTGGGGTTGAACCCTAGGTTCAAAATAAGACCCCCGGAGGCTGAAGGTTGATTTTAAAAGAAAGCAGGCAGGGATTTATTAAAACAGGAAGGCCGCAAGAGCACCACATGCAGGTGGCCACACTCACAACAGCACCGTTCCAGGTGTAGGCCGGTCCTTTTAAAGGTCTAAACCACAAGAATTTCCCTTTGTTCTAAATTCTAAAGGCTGGGAATGGGCCCACAGGGTCATTCCCAGCCACTTCTCGCTGGACTTGGGAATGTGGCCCTATCTTGCGATAGCAGATAGTACTGAAGCCTAGCTGAGCGGTTCATCTCTAAAGGTTATCTACAGTTTCTATTCCTGAAGCTACTGAGTCAGTGGGAATCTATCTCCTGTGGTCCTGGCCCACAGACACAGGAAAATTGCCTTAGCCTCCAGGTCTCAATCTGGAAGCTGAGGTTACTACTACCTTATTGTTTAAGCCAGTAAGCGAGTGCTGAAGCCAGAATAGCAGGGTCAAAATTCAAACAGCAGTTTTTACCTAAGTATGGTTGCTACCATACTTCAAAACAAAACAAAGAACCATACCAGGGCTTTGGTGTCAGACAAAAAGGACGGTGGGTGGAGTCCCTACAAGTGCCAGACACACCCAGTCACTCTCTCCCAGGTGACCCAGAAATTTCCAGCAGTCAGGAGTGAACTCCTTCTCTTCCAAAGTGTGCCAGGAAGACCGCACAGCCTGGCTGTTCCGCTGACCAGCTGACCTCCATGAGGGTCTGCCTCGGGGGCCTCACCCCCATTCCTTGCCCAAGCCCCGCCGGCCGCATCTGGCCCAGCCTCCTCAGAGGCCCTGGTGGAAGCTGGAACCACACGCAGGACAGGACTGGCTGTTTGGTTGGGGAAGCCCTCAGGGAGCCAGGAGCCAGGATGTCTGTGCTTCATCCTGAGAAGCAGCCTGTGTGGGGCTTCACAGCATGGGTGCTGGGATCCACAGCCCCCTCTGTTCCGCTGGGTGCCTTTGGGCAAGTTACCAGACCTTCTGTGCTCAGTTTCCCCATCTGTAGGGGTGGCCCTGATAATGGCCAGGGCTGTTGCCAGGATAACTAGGAATGTTACACCCAGGTTTTGTGATCCCCAAGGACCACCAGGGAGCCGAGTCCGATGCAATTGCAGAAAGCCTGAATTCCATGCCAGCATGGGCTCTGTCTCACTCACACCGACATCGGCGAGGTGGAAGAGCATGGGCTTCAACAGGTCAAGGGCTTTTATAGGGGTGGTGATGTCACTGCTTTGGCTGCCTCTGATTGGTTGGGTGAGGGCTAGGGTCCAGTTACAAAATGGAGGATAGCTCCGCCCTGCCCCACAGTACAAAATGGAGTCAGGAGTTAGCCCTGCCCAGCCCTGCCCTCTCAGCAACAGCCAGGAAATGGGCCACAGGAGCAGCTCAGAACCCTTGGGGCAGCAGCCTCTTTGGCTGAAAGACTCCTACCAGCCCCTGGAGTGAGACCTTTCTGTCCTGGGGGCCTGGCTCTGCCCTCTGAACCTCCAGAGAGGAAGAGGAGGAAAGAGGCCTCAGCCTCTGGGCCTGGCCAGGAGCTGAGCTCAAACTCTGACCCAGCAGAGGTGAGGAAATTAAATTACTTAATTCATCCAGGTTAGAGTTGAGAGGACGCTGACCCTTTAAATGAGAGAGATGGCACCTACTTCACCATAGACTCTGCCACTCCCTATTGTCCCCCACCTGACAATCTCCCTCATACACACCACCTGCCTGGCTCCTATAAGCATTTCATTTTTCTAGGGAGTTGGCTAAAAGAAGTTAGAGTAGACGTTAACTACTAGAGAAATGTGAAGATTGACTAAGAGCTACAAGTAATCTTCTAGGTTAATGCAGGTTAAGAGCACAACAGATCAAAGGCATCCTGGAGGTTAGCTTAAAAGTCAAGAAGAAACCAATTTGGAAATTTTGCTCAGAGACCAAGAGGGAAGAGGGTCGTATACACACCTACTATGTGCCAGTCTCTTCCCTGTCCTTTTCTCACTAAATCATGGATCTTACACAGAAGGTAAGATTTATCCCTATGTTACAGATGAGGAAACTGAGGCAAAATAGGCCACATAAGCTTCCTGAGGTCACTCAGGAAACGAGCAGCAGAATGAGGCTCCAAACCTGGGCGATGCCTGGCTCTGAAACGATGCAAGCCTCACCATAACCGTTGTTCCTTCCAAGTGGCCCGGGAAGGGCGCTTGACAAAGTGGGCTCTATGGGGCCTGGGAGGCCTGCAGACACCTCACTAGGGCCTCGGAGGTTGCCCAGGGCCTGGGGAGGGACTGGGGAGCAGGAGCAGGAGAGGAGGCTGCCTGGAGGCTGCAGAGCATCCAGGACCAGGTGCCACCTGAGGTGGCTGGGAGGGCAAAGGTCATGGTCACACTATTCAATGGTGGGGTGTGCAGGAGGATGCCTTATTCTTGGCCTTCTCAGAGGAGCAGAAGGTTTATCCTTTTGGATAAGCTGCTGGCCTCCTTGGTCTTTTGGGTTTCTGAGTTTTCAATCAGGGCCCTGGGGCCTTTACTAAGAGCCTGGCCTGTGATCCAGCAGCCCCTCTCTGGTTCCTACTCCTTTCAGGGTCATGTTCATGCTACTTCCTCCTCTGGAAAGCTGTCACTTCCTTCCAAGGGAGGCCAGCTCCTGGTCACATGGTCTCAGATCCTGGTGGTCTCCTTATCAGTCTCAGAGTTACATGTAACTCCCCGGATTCAGGTCCAATTTCTCACAGGCGGGGAGCCTGAGACTCCATATGCCCAATTCACAGCTGCATTCGGCCCCTGGGACATTGCCCTACACACCAGGCCAGCGACTAGCAAGTGCCAGAGGGATTGGACAGAAGGAGCAAGACCCTAACTTACTGCCTTCTTCTCCCTGCAGATCGTCCCCTTCTCTGGGACCATCCAAGGGGGCCTCCAGGACGGACTGCAGATCAGTGTCAATGGGACGGCTCTTCGCGCCTGTGGAACCAGGTACCTGGAACTGTTGTTTCCCCCAGCCTAGCCCCTTAGCAAACCATGGCCCCTGTCAGCTCAGGCTGGCTCCCACAGCACTGTCCAAGCTGCCTGTGCCTGACTAAGGGGATGCTGAAGAGCAGGGCCCGGTCCCTGCCAACACTGCATGGCACCCCTGCCCTCTGCCAATAGCATCTGAACACCGTTAACGTAGATTCCCCAGAGACACAGGCAGAGCGGGAGCTCACGGTCTCGGGCCAGCCCAGGGGCAGATGTTTATGGGCTAGGATTGAACTTTGCATGTGAAGACCCAGAGATGCAAAAACAATGCCTCCTTTACTTCCCATGACGGCCTGCACTTATTCCATGGCCCTTGTTTGGCTGGTGTGGAAATATTTAAACTTGGCATCAAATGTAATCCAGTCTCTTTCTGTTTCAAGTTCATTCCTAGAAAACACGAAGGCAATTCAAAATACAAACATCTCCTTGGCACTGTCTCCCACCCAAGAGGGGACTTTGGGGCTCAGGGAAGACTTTCCCGTCTTCTCAGAGGCCGAGCGCCCTCTAATGCTGGCCCAGCCCTGGCTGCCCGAGCTGAGGTCCGGGTGGTGAGGAGGTGAGGGGCTCTTGCCTGATTTGGGTGGGGCCCTCCCACCTGGTGGCTGCCTGCTGAAGCCAAAGGTGCCCACAAAAGCCTTTCTGCACACGGCCCTCTCTTGGGAGCCTCTGTCTCAATCCCAGGTGTCTTTTGTTCCCAGTGCTCCTTTCATCACCTCACACAGGGCCTGGGGACCTTCTGGACCCCTTCAGATCCCTGGCCCGGCCCTACCTCATCTCGGCTTGTAGATTCTACAATAGTTGACTTTGTCCACCATCACCTTCTCTGCCAGGTGGGCATAAGCACGCTCACCCTGTGACATCTCCCTGAGCCCTGAATGCCTCCAGGAGATGCCATGGAGGGTGAGGCTCCCAGATGGCCCTAAACCCTGCCATTGGGGAAGCTGAGCCCTCACCTCTGACCCTCCATCCCTTCTCTCTACTTCTCCCTCTGCCTGCCTCCTGTCATACTGTCTCCACTTCTTCCCATGGGCCCTTTTGCACTCTCATCCCTGGGTCAGGAGTTTGCAAGTAACCAGAGAAATGGAGCTGCGTGACCACAGAGGGAAAGATACACCCAGAGATATTTCAGAAACGATACCCTCATGTACAGAGCAATCTGGACTCGGTCTTCGGGTACCAGAGTCAGTGGGAGCCACCTTTTCTCTTAATGTCCCCAAATGGTGGGGCTAGCTGGGTTCTGAGCCAGGGAACTTCCCTGCTGGCTGAGGGCCCCCAGAGGGAGCTGGTATTGAGGAGGCCCTCTGAGCTCAGCCTACTCTACAGAGACACCAAATGGGCTCTGCAGGAATTGAGTAGAATATCTAATGGGCCACCTCCGGGTTTGGTGCAGTGCCTGGCTCTGTGGGGGAAGCAGAAGATATAAAAGTGGGGGGCCTTCCCTGGGTGCTGTGCATTAGTTGGGGACAACAGAGTGACCCCAAGAGGCAGGGTGTGGACAACGTTCATGCTGAGGTCAGGGAAGGCTGGAGTAGACAGTGATGCCTCAGGGAGAACCTAGGATTGGGGCTGGTTTCAGGCCATGGGTCTGGGAAAGGGCAGATGTTTATTGTGAGATGTGTTACTTGGACTGTCCCTCACCTTAGAACAGGGCGGGAACCTTTTTTCTGCCAAGGGCCAGTTGCTATTTATAACATCATCTGAGGCCATACAGAGTTATCAATTATAATTTAGCCTGCTACATTTGATCAAACATTTAAGTAACTCATTCCTAATCCCTTGGCAGGGCCAGACAAATGATTTCACCGGCCTAATATGGCCCGCGGGCCTGACGTTCCTTACCCCTGCCTTAGAGCCATATCTATACCCAAAGGAGGTTTTGAAGGTGAGGGCTTCCTTCCAAGCAGAGAGACAGGAACGGAAATTTACTTGTTTGGGGAATTCCTAAACACCACCTCACTAATCATCCCCAAAGGAAGGGAGTCACCCGCCCTCAGTGTGGAGACTTGAGGGTAGTGTTTGAGGTTCAGGGTCAACCCAAATGACAAACGGTAACAGCTGGGGTTGGATCCAGTCCTAGGGACTTTAGGGCACCACTCCACACCTCATGTGTGGGACACACACCAGCCTCCGATGAGGGACAGACACACATCCCGGAAGTTCTCATGCCTGGAGAGCCCATATCCTTCCCATGCCTTCCCTGTTACACACCGTCTTTGCAGGTAAACCCCAAAAATGTGACATTTTTCTCCATTTGTTCTCTTGCTTCCCAACTGAGCAGTGTGGGCTGGCCTCTAACCAGTGTCCACTGGGCATGAGAGGCTCTTGCTTCTGGGCAAATTCCTGGATTTGCATCTTCATACAAATGTGAGATCAATTTCCAAGACCTATGCTTCCTGAGGCTAGAGTCTACATTGTTCTTTACCCAGTTTCTGCTTATTTCTCGAAAGTCACACTAGAAAGGGCAAAATGCAATAATCAGACAAAACACACTAAGCACAAATTAGGTAAACAAAAGGAAGGCAGCAAAATAGGATGGATGCAACTTGCCTCACAGGTTGTAGGCAAGTTCCCAGGCACACATGAAAGTCAGAGGTCCCAGGCTCTCCTGCTCCTGCCTTTGTCCATAAACCAGAACACTGTCTGATATCCGTCCACCTAGGTTTGCTGTGAACTTTCAGACCAGCTTCAGTGACAAGGACATTGCCTTCCACTTCAACCCTCGGTTTGAAGAGCGTGGGTATGTGGTCTGTAACACCAAAGAGAAAGGACGCTGGGGAGATGAGGAGAGGATGATGCATATGCCCTTCCAGGTGGGCATTCCCTTTGAGGTCTGCTTCCTGGTGCAGAGCTCTGGATTTCAGGTGAGCAGGGTTCTCCTCTCTCCCTCCTGCTGTCTGACACCTGCTCTATCAGGCCTGGAGAGAAGCATTTATTTATTTATTTATTTGTTTGTTTGTTTGTTTGTTTGTTTATTCATTCATTTATTCATTCATTCATTCATTCATTTTCGTTATTGCTCACTTCAGAACACTTTTTCATTGATTATTTTAGAGAGACTGGAGGGAAAGGGAGAGACACACAGAGAGAAACATCAATGTGAGAGAGACATCAATTGGTTGGCTCCCACATGCACCCAGAATTGGGCTGGACAGACATTGAGCCTGCAACCAAAGTTTGTGCCCTTGACTGAAATGGAACCCGGAATCCTTCAGTCCACAGGTTGACGATCTACCCACTGAGTCAAACTGATGAGAGAGAGAAGAGCTTTAAAATAATAACCCAAGCAATGCCATTATAAAGAACAGAGGAGGTTACACACCTTCACCTGTACCTACATAGCACCTGATGCTTCTGATACCAGGAAATAAGAGCTAGTTGCCCTCCCCACCTGCACTTTGGAGACTTCCATCCTCTGCTGCAGCCTTGTTTGTGGTGATGCTGTGGCAGCCCTTCTGCAGGCCCAGGGGTGGCTCAGGGCTGCGGGTGCAGTCATTGCTCTTGCAGGCAGAGCAGTGCTGCTGGGCTGGGGGAGAGGATGGCTGTGTCTGTGCTTCTCTGTGTGAAGGGCGCTCCCAGGCCCTCAGTGTGCAACCTGAGGCCCCCTCTCCTCTGCTCACAGGAGCACTTTATGTTCATTGAAATGCGCATATTGAAATGGCATCCCCAGTGAGCTGAGAAAGACACACCTAGAGCAATAATCAAACAAGAACTCAGAAGCCAAAACTAGAGCCAAGTGGTGACTGGGTTTGGCTGCATTAGGGATCACATGTGTGTTCCTTACCTGGGGCAGCTCGGAAGGCTGGGCCCCCACCTACAGGGGATGGAGGTGAAAACCGGACAGGCCTTGATTTCTAGAAGCAGGGGTCCTAGTGCTCCGGTGTGCTCCCCGCCCTAGTCTGGGACCCTCTCCTGATATATGCGCTCCTGTTGACAGGTGACGGTGAATGGAAACTTCTTTACCAACTACATACACCGCGTGCCCTTCCACCGTGTGGATAACATCTCTGTCACCGGCGCTGTGACGCTGACACACATCAGCTTCCAGGTCAGATTGTCCAAATGGCACCTGTCCCAGGGGCTGGGTGCAGGAGCCAGTCTGCTATGCCTAGGCCCTTTGGGTGGAGCCAAAGGTTCCTGCTAATCTCTCATCCAGATGGCTCCGAGGACATACCTTCCGCTGCCTCTATCCCGTGTCACTGTCTCTGTCCAGAGCACCTGCCTCAGCCTCCCTGACTCCTTCCCCTCTTGTCTGTCACCTGTACTCCCACACTCATTAGAAAGCCATGTGGTTCCCCAAAGAACCCAGCTTGGGAATCACACTGAATCTACCTCAGATCCCAGTTCTACCATTGTCACCAGCTGTGGGATCTCAGACAAGTGAGTCTGCTTCTCCCAGCCTCAGTTTCCTCATCTGTGCAAGGGGCCTAGTCACAGCCTCCCCAGGAGGAACTGTGTGGGCACAATGAGGGGATACATGTCAGAGGTCACGAAATGGCCCCCATGGGCCACCCCAGGGTCTACTGGACTCTCTCTGCATTTTCCAACTTTGAATGTGGTGCCAACATGTACAAGGTCAGGAGCCGGTGTGCGTTGTGGAGCTGAGTGCTGGTGAAGGCTGCACCACAGGATGCCCCTCGGCCATGCACTCCAAAATAGTGAAGATGGTAAATTTCATGTGCATTTTACCAAACATTTTCCAGGTCAGGTGATACCACATGGGTATCTGAATATCTCACTTTTTTGTGAAA